TGGGCGATCGCTGCCGGTAGAGCTGCTTTTTTAGTGTAGCATGTCAGATGATCGACGCCGACAATAATCCACCGGTTTTCAGAGCCACTATATGGGAGGGGGCCATAGAGGTCGATATCCACGCAGTCGAATGGGCGAGCCAGGCACGAGAGCGGCTGTAACATGCCAGTAAGGTGCCGCGGCGGTGTCTTGTTCTGTTGGCAGGTGGTGCAAGACTGAACGTATTTCTGCACAAAGCGATACATTCCTCGCCAGTAATATCGTTGGCGCAGCCTTTCGTAGGTTTTCAGGACACCTGCGTGAGGCTTTTGGGGATCTGCATGGAAATTCATGCAGATGTCAGAGTGTATATGAGTTTGGACAGCAAAGAGCCATTTCCGACCACCAGGCATGTCATTGCGGTGGTATAGAATGTTGTCTCGCATGAAAAAGTGGGCTGCTTGCCGGCACAGCGTCCTCGTGGAAGAGACAGCAGATGGATCGGTAAGGTAGTCGAGTAACAATGCAAGGTATGGGTCTTTACGCTGCTCCGAAAGCATGTCAGTGGTGTCGATAGGTGACAAGGTGGTAAAAAGGGGTGACAGAGAAGCCACATCTGGTGTTAATGGCGATTACGAAAGTGCATCGGCATCCGCATGCTTGCGAACGGAACGATATACGACACGGATGTCGTATTCCTGCAAACGAAGTGCCCAACGCCCCAGGCGTCCGGACGGGTCTTTCAAGGTGGACAGCCAACATAGTGCATGGTGGTCAGTGGCCACGTCGAAAGGACGGCCATAAAGGTACGGGCGAAATTTCGTCAACGCCCAGATTATGGCCAAACACTTTTTCTCTGTCACGGAGTAATTCAATTCAGCCTTCTTGAGAGCGCGACTTGCTTAGGCGACTACGTATTCGGCTTGGGTGCCTTTTCGTTGTACCAAAACTGCACCAAGACCGATGCTACTCGCATCGATGTGAATTTCTGTAGCAGCAGTGCGGTCGTAGTGACGAAGAATAGGTGGTGAGGTCAGCAGGCGGCGCAGCTGGTGAAATGCGCCGTCACATGCAGGTGACCATGCAGATATACTTTTGCTGTTGGAAAGCAGACTCGTCAGAGGTGCGATGATGGGACGCGAAGTTGCGCACGAAGCGACGAAAGTAGGAGCAGAGGCCGACTAAACTTCTTAAGAGTTTTTAGTGATGTGAGCAACGGGAAGTCAGCGACAGCTCGAAGCTTATCGGGATCGGGAAGAACACCGTCTCTTGTGATGACATGTCCCAAGATGGTTAGTTTTCGTGCTGCGAAGTGGCACTTCTTGGTGTTATGTTGTAGGCCTGCAGAAGTTAGACACGTCAGAATCTCGTGGAAACGAACATGTGTCGGGAAATCAGATGAAAGGACTACGATGTCGTCCAAGTAACACAAGCAAGTTTTACACTTGTGGGCACGCAAGACGGTATCGATCATGCGCTCAAATGTGCAGGCGCGTTGCAGAGCCCAAATGGCATGACTTTGAACTCATATAAGCCATCCGGCGTTACAAAGGCTGTTTCAGGGCGATCACATTCGGCCATTGGCACCTGCCAATACCAAGAACGCAGATCCAGGGATGTACAGTACTCTGCGCCTTGTAAACAGTCAAGAGCATTGTCTATTCGTGGTAGTGGGTAGACATCTTTCTTCATAATCTTGTTTAAGCAACGATAGTCCACGCAAAATCGACCAGAGCCATTTTTTTTCTTTACCAGAACCACAAGTGATGACCTAGCGCTTTGAGAAAGCTGTATGACTCCACGTTTAAGCATGTCATCTACTTGCTCCGTATTGATGCGGCGCTCTTCGGCGGAAACGCGGTAAGGACGCTGTCACAGAGGCGAATGTGAGGCGGTGTCAATAGTATGAATGATAGTCGTGGTGCGGCCCAAAGCAGGTTCTTGAAAGTCGAAAGAAGAGCGAAACTTGTTAAGGAGAGCAACAAGTTGGCGGCGATGGAGGGGGGAAGGTCTGCGTCAATAGCATTGTCGAAGGCTGACGAATTTGATGGCTCAGACGCATGAGTGATTGCGGCAATGTGACATGGGGTTTCGTCGGGAAGAGTATCATCGATATGGTCGACAGATTGTACATATCCTAACGTTTCATCACGAAGTTAGCCAATGGGGTAGTTGCAGTATACTCCGTTTCATACATCAGGTGCAACGCTGTGAAGGCTAGGCAAGTAGTCCGTAAAGAAAATACGAGGTGTTGCTCCGCGCGGTTTCGTAGCCGAGTGGTCTGACGCGTCGCTCTGGAGAGTTCACCGTAGTTTTGAAGTGCATGGGTTCCATTTTTGCCATTTTTGGTTCCATTTTTGAAGTGCATGGGTTCCAAAGTGCCATTTTTTCGAAGCTGCCACAACAAGAAAAAAAAAAAAAAAAAACGGCGGCGCGGGTCGCGCGGAGAGCGAAAACCTGATACGAAAGCGACAAACATAAATTACCAACTCGCTTATTTGGATTGTTTATCCGACAACACAGGCGTTTGTTTTTTAACCTGATGACAAATATGTATGCTTAGAAGTTTCCCGAGAAGCATTTATTGATTCTCGTACACCCCAAGCGGCGCACTACTTTTTGGTCGCGGCAGTACACAGCGCAAACAAGAGCGCTAGCTTTGACAGCGTTGCACATGATGTATGAAACGGAGTATAGTTGGTAACCAGCATTACGGTTAAACCAGACGCAATTGTAAGAATGGCAAATGGGAGAACGATGCCCTTGCGTTCAGTAAAAACCGGAGATGACGTAAACACCACCGTGGCGTCAGGTTGCACCACACATGAAAGGCTAACAGGGACTGAAGCTTCCAAAGGCAAGGTGATGTCGTCGTCAGCGATGAGTTTGCAGAGCAGAGGAGAACGGTCGGGCGGTGGAAATTCACATGATGGCACAAGGGACACTTTGGCACGGGAACAATCGATGATAGCTTCATGACGTGATAAGAAATCCCAACCCAGGATAAGGTCATGAGAGCAAGATGGCAGAACAAAAAACTGTACGACGTACAAAACGTCTTGGATGACGACGCGCGCCGTACACATAGCCGAGGGATGAATGCGTTGCGCGCTAGCCGTGGACAGCACCATGCCACAGAGAGATGTGGTCACTTTCTTCAGTTTCCCACAAAATTTGGCGTCTATCACAGAAACGGCGGCCCCGGTATCAATTAACGCTAATGTTGGGACTCCCTCAACGTCGACATCAACAACATTTTGCGGCGAAAATGGAGGCCTTGAGAATTGCGCACAAGTTGCAGTTCTTGCCTCCGGAACTGCACTGATTAGTTTCTCTCCTCAAGAGGTGGTCGACGACGCCTAGGCGATGGCGATCGGCGACGAGGAGATGGGAAACGAGCAGTTGATGGGCGGCGATCTGAGTCGGAGTGCCTCTGTTCATATGCAGACGTGGTGGCCTGCTGCGGCGCGTAGATAGGAGTTCCGAAGTATGCGTGCGCAGGTGTGGGATGGCGGCGGCAGAAGCGTGCAATGGGGCCAGCGATGCCACACGCGAAGCAGATAGGACGATTGTCTTGGGTGCGCCACTCATTAGATGGACAGAAAAAGCGAGGTGGGGGCCTGTAAACTGGAGGAGAGGCCGGAGGAGGTAGAGCCGATAAGGCGACTGGATGCGGTGGGTTCCGCGCGACCACAGCTGCGTAGCTGAGAGGTGAAGGTGGCGCAGGTGGTGCGTAGCTGGCAGTTGAGAGATCAGATGGTACCGGAGTGGATGGGTAAGGGGCAGGAGCTGTAGGGAGGGCATCGCAAATTTCAGTGCTTATGGCCTGCTGCAGTGTCGAAGGCAGGCTTGTGGTGGGCGCGTCACTATGCGGCAGCAGGGAGAGCTGTCGGGTGACTTCCTCCCTGATGAAGTCTTTAACCTGGTTCGACAGAGTTCCTTGGCGAACGTTGCCATTTGCGAATGCGACGGCCGAGATCGAATCTGGTGATGGGACACTCTGTCGGGCAATGGAACGCTGACGAGCGATTCATCGAAGCTCTGGCACAGGCTTACGAGGACTGCCACCGTGGTCGGGCTTTTCGCCAGCAACATCTGGAATGCGCCATCCTCAATATAACTAGTAAACGTCTCAAACGTCTCGCCAGGCTGCTCTGCTCGGTGGCGTAGATGCTGGTCAGCGCGGTGTTTGCGGACCTCTGGTCGGCCGAACGCTTCGGTCACGAAGGCCTTAAAGGTGGACCAGTTGGCGATGGCGGTTTCGCGGTTGGTAAACCATAGCTTAGCGACGTCAGCCAAGTAAAAGATAACATAGGCGAGCTTAGAGTCGTCGTCCCACTTGTTGCTGGCACTTTCGCTTTCGTACAAGGAGAGCCAGTCTTCGATGTCTTGCTCACCACTGCCGCTGAAGATTGGTGGGTCCCGCTGATGAGTAGCGCCGGGGCAGGTCGACAGGGCAGCCGATGGTGCTGGCTGTGCTGGGATGGGCTGGTTGGCGACTGCGTCAGCCGTGCTGTACGGTGGTCTTTCGGCCAACTTGCGAGAGCGGAGCTCCAGGTCTGCTTAGGGATCTCAGCAGCCTCCACCAAATGCGATAATGTTTATTCAAACAGAGAAGTCGCAACGAGGTCGCTATGGAAAATGGGCGTACGATAAGTCTGGCAAAGGCGGCACAGGCCCTTGCACAATCAGAGCACGGGGTTTTTCGTTCTCTTTGTTAGGCGCATACGCGTTAGTGCATATGCTCCACAACAATATTAACAATGTCTTCTGAAGAAACATTACTAGTGCAACTTGAGAAACTAGCTGTCAGAAGACCCTCACATAGGACTTGCAACTGGTATGCAAGTCTTGCAGTTCTTGCCCACAAGTCTGCTTGAACACTGAGAAGAGCATGCGCTCCATGCATTTTAAGTGTTTCCAGCTCATGCAATGCAGATAAAATAATGCACAATAAAATTTACAGGTTTGCAGTGGTTATGTCCTAAAAACAGCCATTATTAAAAGATTTAAATCCTTACCCCTGACTTGTCGACTGCTGCTGGGTACGTCTGCTCCATGAGGCAGAACGCTTGAAGACAGCATAGAGGACAGGGACAAGGGCACTGCTGTGCTTTTGTGGGGTTTGGGAGGCTCCTCGTGGCGACTCTGCAGGTAGATACAAAGTGTGGGTTGTATAGCACAACTAAATACAACTTTTTAATGCAAGATCTGCAAGTAAGAGTACTAATTTACTGAAAAGAAGAGCTCAAGAACAGATGACTAGCAACTAACTTGAGAGCTCAGAGCACACACCTGCTTATTTTTATCCAAAACTGGCTGTCTACTGGTACTGAACTCCTACATAATTCCTGAAACATCCTTTTCTTTAAATCCTCACCAGAATAATTATATACGTTACAATAACAAACCACACCTTTATAAATAAAAACAGAAGTATGTGTAAAATATTTCACACTTACTATTTTTATAAGACAATTTAAAGAATGTTTCCTTGAATTTTAACACTGTCGCATATGGACCTGTGATACACTTAGATACACATACAGAGTGGTGAAAAGTAAGGCTACACTCAAACCTGGGGAGCAATAGGAGATCGAAAAGGTCAAAGAAGGGAGAAAATTTCTTTTCAGAATTGTTTAGATATTTACTGCCGCTGCCAACTTTTTGTGGCTTCTGTGTACTTGTTGGATTGTCAAGGGCAATAGCTGTATGCCATTTAAGAATTCCTTTCTGCCCTATTTGCTACGTACCCAAATTTAGAAATGATGCAGAAAACAAAGAGAAAAACAGTTTTCACCTTTTCAACCTGTTGTTTCCTGCAGATACCAAGAGAAGCTAAATAAGTAGACACTTTGATAACAGCAGCAGTGGATGTGCCTGGCTCTGCAAAAGCGGTTCATGTTGCGGCATGCCAGCGCACTGCTGCTGAAATACCAAATTCCAGACCTCTCAACAACAAGTTTGTCTCTTAAAAAACATGACCTTGTAAAGGCTGTAAGAACTGTTGTGCCGCATAGAACAATTTGTTATGGCACTGGAGAGAATCACTGTCCATCTTTTGACCCTTTCAAATTTGCGCCTAGATATTTACATACTAGCCACTCGCAGCGCTGCTTTCGGCACAGCAGAAAGACATTGCTTTTTCATGTGGCAAAAAACTTTGTCCAAAGCTGCTCAAAACACATAAAATGGTCTTCCATTGGCTTGGAAGGATAAAACAGGTAGACTTCAGGCAAGTCTTGCAGATGGCTTTCTTGAAGGGCCAGTTGGTGCGTGATACTGAGGGGAACAGCGCAAAAAACGGGATGGAGAAAGATTGAACACGCGACACAGAAAGACTGAACACACGACACAGGAACACAGCGCCTGTGTCGTGTGTTCAATCTTTCTCCATCCCGTTTTTTTTTTTTATTGTTCCCCTCAGCATCAGGTCTTGCAGCTTCCACCTGCTATGAGCACTAGTGCAAATGAAGACTATTAGAGTTCTATCTACTACTGAACAATGTCACGACTTTAGTTAGCAACAAAAGTATCATCTCACAATTCCCTGGGCTTCTTCTTACTACAACAAACATCAAACAGCTGCTGTTTCTGTACAATAATGAGTGTGAAATATAGTTTTCTTCTTATGCTAGCCACACAGCCATCTTGTCTAGGCCTGCTACAGACACATGTACACATACCTTTCTGGCCAGCAGCCGCTCCAACTCCTTTTCATCTACATGCAGCTTTCCCCCTGACATAGGGAGCGCCATTGGTGTTGGTGGGGGCACAGCTGGGGCAGAGGTGGTTGAAGAGGCATCTGAATCGTCCCTCTCATCAGCACTCGATCCTGGCTGCTTATGCTCCTCACGCAGCTGCTGCTGCTTACGTGCTTGCAGGTTGAGGGCCAGGGCATCAATGCGGCTACCACCAGAACGCCGCCCTCGCCCACCTCCTCGCCCCCGATTGGCTGCCACGGCACCATTGAGCAGGGCCGATCGCACAGAGGGCACCATAGTAGCTGCTGCACATAAATTTGATGTGGCAGGCACTGAGCCTCCTGAGCTCAAGTCCATGGGTGGCTCCTCGGAAGGTGGGACCGGTGTGCTGGCCTTGGCAGGCGGCGGCGTGGGAGCAGCTTTGACTCGCAGATCGAGCATGCCCAGCGCACTGGCTGGTGGCCCTCCTCCCCGCACTGATGATGAACCTTGGTGAGCAGGTGGTGGCGGGGGAGGCTTGCTTGGCTCATCACGGTGTGCCGGCTGCGGTGTTGTTACTGTGGATGCAGTGACAACGGCAGTGACTGCTGAGGCCACCACACTGGCTGGTACGCTTGGGGCCATAGTACTCATGGGTGCGGTAGCCGTGGCTAGAGTACTGGGCAGGCTGCTCGTGCTCGGTGGTGGAGGGGGTGCCAAAAACTGCTGGAGTTGCTTCAGTTGCTGCTGTTGCAAGTTATGGGACAGGAGTGCTCGTAGCTTGGCTGCACAAACACCCATAAAGATTTATGCTTAGTTTTTTTTTTCTTTTTCGCTAGGTCACGCATTGCCTATAAATATTGCCAAAACTACCGTTATTTACTCGCGTAATACTTGCACTTGCCTAATTGTCACATTCCCTGCACTGCCCAACAAAACTTCGATTTATTTCATTTTCCACAAGTAATTATCGCACCCCAAAAAACTGCAGCAGTAATGCCCAACAAAACTTCGATTTATTTCATTTTCCACAAGTAATTATCGCACCCCAAAAAACTGCAGCAGTAATGCCCAACAAAACTTTGATTTATTTCATTTTCCACAAGTAATTATTTCACCACAAAAAACTGCAGCAGTAATGCCATCTGCTTCTTTCAACCACTAACGATGATCACGCACGACAGCATGGCGCCTCCTCAGGGCCAGTCAACAGACTCCGACTTTTTTTTTACACCCCCCAAACAAGCTCGCACATCTTTCCTACGCGTAACTAACCTCTTTCAATACGCAGTGACGCCAACTCGGCGATCTGCAACGTGACGCAGAACGCAACTCGTCGATTGGCCTAAAGCAGGTCTCAACAAACAGTAATGAAGTCAACGTCGCCTATCACCGAGTTGCCGTCTCTGCGCATGAAAGGAGGTTGGTCCGGCGTAGGGAAGATGCGCGAGCTTGTTGGGGGGTGTAAAGAAAAAAAAATTCGGAGCCTGTTTACTGGCTCTTTGAGCGTCATGCATACTATCTATGCACGGAGCCCCCAATCCAAGCCAAACGAAATTCGCAAGTCCATGTTGCGGTGTGTCAGTGCTAGTGGTGGTCGTCCGTGTAGCTTTGGTGTAGCGTACATAGTTGTGTTCATTCTGTGGTTACGCTATCAGCTGATACAGAAGCTATTGACAGCTGCTTTCCAGTTGAAAGTGATTGATCATGCACTATTTGTTTAGTCATTGGCAGGCACTTCAGAGTCGACAAATTTTGTGTTCACTACTGGCGACGGCAGCCCGAGCAACTGAAAGCCACCAAACAGAAACGTCAGGCCTTCCGTGAACCTAAGACTGGGAAATAACCGCCAGTTGAGGCAGCCCTTCTTGATTACGTCAAGGGTATTCTTGCTAAGACCCTTACACACTATTTGCGAGTAGCTTCAGTGCCTGAAAATAAATCTTGCTTTATGTTAAACCTGAGGTTTCATTGTTAGGTCTTGGTTAGTACACCTCAAAGCTTGTAGTTACTTGCTAGTGTTAGAATCCCAATTCCAGACGCTTTGTTTTCTTTTTCGCTTAGTATGTTCTCAGAGAAAATTTTCCCCGCATAATTCTCACACCACCCCGCCAACTTTTTATTGGTTTTACCTAAAAGAAGTCCAAGAATTATGCAAGAAAATAAGAAAATACGGTAATGCACTTTACAATATCTGGTTCCAACTAATACTTACCTCTCTCTGCCTCTATTTCGAACCTTCGTCTCCTTCTTCTCCGCCTTGTGCCTATGAGCAAGTCATCGTTCTAGAACGAAAAAACAGATATCGGAATAAACATGACCACCTCAGCACAATAAACCTGAAGGTAGAAAGAATGCAGCATTAGCTACATACCGGCAATGGTGGGATAGGACTATGGCGACCAGCAGGCACAGACACAACTGGAGGCATTTCCACAGACGATGTAACAGTTGCAGCTGCAAAGCCAGCCACAGTGGCTGCCACATTTGGTGTCACAAGTGCTGGGGAAAGTCTTGAGGTCAGGTCAGGAAGGATAACCGGGGTAGCTGAAGGAGCAGGTGGTGGAGGAGGAGGGGGTGGTGGTGGTGGTGGTGGTGGTGCAGGGTGCTGCTCTCGTATGATCACAGGAGAGGAAATGTGCTCAGGAGTGGCATGCAGGGTTTGTTCACAGCCAGATGCTACTGATGAGGCCACAGGTGATGATGGGCACTCAGTTGGAGTAGCTGGCAACAATGTGAAACCTTGACGAGGTACTGGCCATTCCTTTTTCTCCACAGCATGTACAATGTATTCCAACCGAATCTGAAGTACTTTGTCCTGGAACAGCAATGCAATATATTGTAATCTGGTTCATTAAGCAACATACTTTTGCCATTAGACTTCATTGCCTAATCAGGCTCCAACAACATTCCAATAAATCAGTAGGATTTTGATAACTGTTAACTTTAGGCTGACAAAACTTTATTTCCAGAAACGGAAAGTTCCTGCTTCGACAGCTGTGTAAAACGACATCAGCCTAGCTGTCAGAAATTGTTAAACACTGCATCCCATTTGTAGTTTAACCTCCACACATCATGCACTATTTAAAAACTGTGCTTTAATATTAAGCAGGATTTTTACCATTGAAGCCAGGACCAACAAAGAAAAAAAAATGCGTAAATCAATAAATATAGCTCTAGATACCCATAATCTACCAGATACAAAAATGAAATCTTCACTTAGTTGACATCGTCGTCACTTAATGTGAGAAGTGTCAGCATTCCAAATAGTGTCGCAACTTCCAGCTTCTGGTTGCCGTTTAACACTTGCAAGCGTGTGGTTGAGTGTTTACTATGCAGTGTGAGTTTTGTGTGTTCCAGCCAAGCCCCATAATGCCACAAAGGCAACACCAACAATGTGCTCAAAGGTGCTTACAGAGCCTAGTAAGAGCTGCTCATAGTCCAACAATGGCAACCCAATGATGCTGCCAGCTGAAGCAGAACTTTTGATAGTGTGCCAGAGGATGTGGCCTTCAATAGTTTAATTGAAGTGAAATAAATTTTGAATGTCTATGCTTTTGCTATAGTAGCAATAAAATGTAGAATAGTGTTACCTACAAGTTTTACAGTGACGTTTGCAGATATCCACTGCTGTGCATGACAACGCACTTCGCGGTGAATATCCTCAGTGTGCATCATGGTGTATTATATTGACAAAGTTAAAAATCCTACAAGTTTTACAGTGACGTTTGCGGATATCCACTGCTGTGCATGACTACGTCATCATCATCATCAGCCCGACTACGTCCACTGCAGGACAAAGGCCTCTCCCATGTTCCGCCAGTTAACCCAGTCCTGTGCTTGCTGCTGCCAGTTTATACCCGCAGACTTCTTAATCTCATCTGCCCACCTAACCTTCTGTCTCCCTTTAACCCGCTGGCCTTCTCTGGGAATCCAGTAAGTTACCCTTAATGACCAGCGGTTATCCTGTCTACGCACGCTACATGTACGGCTCATGTCCATTTCATCTTCTTGATTTCAGCTATGATATCCTCAACCCCCGTTTGTTCCCTAATCCACTCTGCTCTCTTCTTGTCTCTTAAGGTTACACCTACCATTTTTCTTTCCATTGCTCGCTGCGTCGTCCTCAATTTAGGCTGAACCCTCTTTGTAAGTCTCCAGGTTTCTGCTCCGTAGCTAAGTACCGGCAAGATACAGCTGTTATATACCTTCCTCTTGAGGGATAGTGGCAATCTACCTGTCATAATTTGAGAGTGCTTGCCAAATGTGCTCCACCCCATTCTTATTCTTCTAGTTACTTCAATCTCATGGTTTGGCTCCGCGGTTATTACCTGCCCTAAGTAGACATAGTCTTTTACAACTTGAAGTTCACTATTACTAGAGTCCTTTAATACCGTTCTGGTCACGAAACTTCTCCGTCACTCTATGGGAGAGCTTGATATGCTGCCAAGAGCGACCGCTATGCGGCGCAAGATGGGATAGGGGGCCACCGCTCCGTTGCGCCCGGCCATTGCCCGGTGGAACGCATTGGCAGCGGCGGCAGCTCGAAGGCGTTGTGCAAAGGCAGCTCGCGGTATTCCTTCGAACAAAGTTTCTGCATCAGCGTCACGAGAACTTCAAGGGCCAGTTCTCCGCGGTCAAGGTCGACGGCATGAAAATTCGAAGGAGCAATGCCTAGGACGTGCTGTGTGATGGGCTGCAGCACCGGATACAGAAGAAACAAGGAAAAGGCGTTGCTCTTCTGTTTCCCCAGTAGCACCGAACTTCGGGAGAAATGTAGATTACATTTCTTCACACGCGAAAAAAAAAAAAAAAAAAAGCCTCGCAGGCAATCGTGCGTGGTTCATGCCAAGCAAGTGGGGGGCGGAAGCCGTAGTGTCAAGCATAATGGTTGTGTACCTATGTTCTCGGGCTGCAGCGTGCGCTGCTTCGTTTCCCGCCATCCCTTGATGCCCCAGGATCCAGGTGACGTAGGACAGAAAAAAGAAAACTTGACTGGTTCCCACCCCCCTCCCCTTACAAGGCACAGAGAGTGTAACATTACTGAATACAGTCATAATAGTTTCTAGTGCTTCTCTTCTCCAAGGTGTTGTTCTCTGTGTATTTTGTGTAAACAAAACATGCTTTCAAACTTGCTCCTCATTAAATGCACCTGATTGGAAGCTTCCATTCATAGGTACACACGTAAATACTAAGCAGCGTATCATTAGTACCAAATTTCCGATTTATGGCTTGCTTTAAATCGTAACCCTCCCCCCCCTCCCCCAAGCATAAAAAAGTATGGTATGGTACCTAGGTAGTGTGGTAAAGGTCGCCGAGCAGCTAGCACTGGCATCGAAAGGAACTTCCAGATTAGGCTGCTGTACTTCCCTTCCCGAAGAAATCGTGGGTTGTCGGCCGGTAATTAATGCTGCTCTAAGCAGTAAACATAAGGAAACGTCAAGAGACGGGTGTCTTGACTAAATTGCGAGTAAAAAAGGGATCACTCAGATGTTGGGCACGTGAAACTCGTGCTATTTCAAGAGGCACCTTTAATATCGAAGCGAGCGGTCGCAAAAGCGCTGAGCTGCTATAACCAAGACATCGAAAGTACCCGCGTCAAGAAAGCGATCGGCGCTCACAAACGTGTGCCCAGAACAACTGCGCATTTCGGTGCAGACTCAATTGAAAGATCTAGAATGTAACATCTAGCTCGACCATTCCTTTCATTCGATTATTTGGATAGCAGCGCGCGAGAGACGAGCCGTATATAAATCAATGCGATTGCCCCTGTCTAACCTAGTCGTGTTTTATTCCGTTCACCTTCCTCCCCGTATTTGCAGCACTGCCAGAATAGAGAGCTTTACTACCGCATAAACAAAATCACCTTTTGACCAGGCGCGAGCACGTTGTCGAGCAGATCCAGCAGTAGCTGCTCGCATCGGGAGCAATGAGCATCGTCTTTAAACACTGGCGAGCAACGACGTACTGCTTCGAGGCATCGTAAGTGCGCATATAATTGGGCTATTAGTTAATTCTTGATACAATGCGTTATCGCGCGATGTTAAAACACTTTAAACGCGCTGCTATTTATAAGGTTGGTCCGCCGCTCTCAGGCAAACTACGCGTGCGTTTTTAAGTAAACAGCTTTCATTCGTTGTCGACACTGAATCACGTTTATACTGATCTAGTGGCATTGCTGCGTTCAGTGACGTTTAATGAAAGGTAACAGGAAGAACAGCACGCACATAATAACGTGGAAACGTCGGCAATAGTGCGCATTTAATCCCAGCACTGGTGGCGGCTTGTGGCCCCCTTACAACTGGTGGCGCCGCTAGCGGGATATTTTGTCCCTATATCAACCTTTGGGCGGAGTTTCGTGACCAGAAAGCATTGAAGGACTCTGCTATTACCTACCTCGAAGCGCTGCTCTTTTCCGAGGTTGTTGTACATTACTTTCGTTTTCTGCATGACTACGTACTTCGCGGTGAATATACTCAGTGTGCATCATGGTGTATTATACTAACAAAGTTAAAAATAGGTGCATCTTATACAGAAGTGCACCCATGTTATACTAAGTTGCAACTTAGAATGGCACAATTTTAGCCCAAACTACTGACATTCTATAGCAAATGATGGTTCCGGAATATGCTGTTCGATTATCATAGGCATAGAACAGTTGTTCTTTAACTGTGCACATACAGTAGACTCGCGATAATTCAAACTCTAATAATTCATACTTTTGGTTAATTCAAACAAAAATAAATTTTTTTGGTTCGCCCTCTATTTTTTCAATGTACTTAAAAGCCTCTTAAAGCTCCATCATTCGGTTAATTCATACTTTTTACGGTTTCATACCAAGTAATGTCTACTGCTTTTCCAATACTATTTAATAATTTGTGTGCTTATAGAATCCTTACAGTACAAGAAGGAAAAAATAAGCACCTCGGGCTTTCAAGGAAAAAGGCTTTGCAAGTAAATAAATGTGTGAAACGAAGCGCACGCATGGTAAACCCTGATGCTTCTCAAAATCGTGATACAGAGCTTTGTGCTGAAGGCACATATAGCAAAGAAGCAGTTGGCAATCAACGATTTCTTTAAAAGGTTTGATCAGCAGTGAATGGCCGATAAACTTCTGGACTTTACATCACTGCTTTCTGTTCATTGCGAGTAGTTAGGGTTTAAAAACGCTTAAAAAGTTTTAAATCTGATGAAATCAATGCCCAATCATAATGTGTAGTGTCACCTTACCCACAATCATATATCTGAGAACTTTTCATAATTCAAACTCTTCAATAATTCAAACCGAATTCAGAGGTTCCTATGAGTTTGAATTAACGAGAGTCGACTGTACATTGTGTTTAGAGTCGATTTTCTCACGGTAAGAGCTGTTCATACGATTTCAATGTTTTAAAGCTTTCTCTGTTACTTCATGCTTCAAGCCAAAATAAGAAGTTGCTTTTTCGTATTTTTTTTTCAATACATCACAATGAACGACCATACCGACTCTCTGGAACTGGTTTAGTGCTCTACCCACTTCTTATGATGCACATTGGAAACTGCGCCAAGTGCTCGCCTCTAACATCCCATCATACCTACACAGCTAGACTCGCACTCACTGTCACCACTCTTTGAGTGCGATTCCTTAACTTGAACCTTATCGTTAAATATTTTGAAATAATGCATGCAAAACAAACAGATTCATAACTTACAACCATGCAAAACTGTAGATCTGGCATTACCTTAGGCCATCGAACTGGATTGCGAGTAGAGTGAGCCAAGAAATGTACAACTTGAGGCTCTGTTCCGCCTTCTCCATCTAAGTTGAAACTCTCTTGGCTTAAAACGTCATCCTGCTGTGAATTTGTTTCCTGCATACCAAGACAATAATTTATGCCAGTCGGAACACGTTTAGTAAAAGCACTCGAATAATGCACGTAGCCTTCACTCAAAAATCAACAGCTAGTACAGTTTGTGGGCCGCCTGACATTGTCTTGGCCCTCTGAATATTGAGAATGTGAGGTCAAGTGTTCTTCCTCATTTACCAACTTTTGATTGCTGGAGATGCCTGACCTACCATCAGCCTTGAAAACGAACACTGGAATCGCTGTGACACGATGTCACGACAAGGACTCTCCTACTCTGCTGCCACTTTTCGCCCTTTTCTGTGCCTGTTGTGTGCCTGCTCTTTAGCCTATCGACTCCTCCCCGATGTCAATCTTTCAACGTACCCGATTAAAGGTTCCATAATTAGTGAAAGTTATTCAAGTTGAGAAAGATTTGATACTATAGCTTATGATAGGCAAATCCCCGTACGAATAGGACATTCACTGTCAAAATCGTGATGCAGGACAGCAAGCAGTCTCTTGATTTCACTGTGTACTTAAAAATATCCGTGCTATGAAAATATGCTAAGCAGTTCAATGCAACTAGGCATAAAAACTAAAACGTGTGGACCTAAGTATTAAAAATTAGATTAGGACGTTTTAGATTCATTAACTTCCTTGCGGTTTACCATGAAAGTTACGTCTGTCTATGCAAAAAGACTAGGTCATTTGACAAAATGGCACTTTCTCCAACAGGAGACTTCACATTCATCTGTCAAAAAACAATAATATGACCGCAGAGCAACGATTTCGGAAATGCTGCGATGTCCGTTTACTCGGATCCTATGCACAGATCTTTTCTCGACAGTCACCAGGGATTATGTAGTTGTAAACCCTAATCTGCGTGAAATATTGGTCCCATCTACGACCGCATCACAAAGGGTATGTTAACCTCAGGTGCAGGCACTGCAGATATCAGCATGCCATGGTCGAAATGAACAATTTCGATGGTACACTCAGCTAGTGATGTGACCTGCATTGCCTCACTGAAGCGACGACAGGTCTCGCATGTCATGTCTACCTATAGGTTGATGCTCAAGGATGATCAACTGAAAGAAAAACCAGTGTATGAGGTAGCTATCGAAAGTGGTACTTACAAGCGTACAGCAGCAACAATGCTGCTGCAACAATCTGACGGCAACAAGAGTTTTAGCACTTAACCTCAATCACACATAACTAACAGGCTCCCAGCAACACATTTGAGAAGAAAAACGCGAGGCCAAAGTTATTGTGTCAGTACGCCTTTAAACTATGTTTTGACTTTTATTGTGTTGATATTTCACGACATAATGTCATGATTTAACATTGTTTTGATCATCAACGGCACTGGCTGTTACACTGAAATAAAATACATACATATATATATATATATATATATATATATATATATATATATATATATATTTTTTTTTTTTTTCAAAGACCAAGGTGGGGGGGGGGGGGGGAGGTTCCACTGCACCTTGGTCCTTGACCCTCTACCAGTTCATTTTTTTTTTTCAAAGACCAAGGTGGGGGGTTCCACCGCACCTTGGTCCTTGAACCTTTACCCGTTCATTATGCGAGTGGGTCAATATGGTAAGCACTGGTATTTAAAATAACTTATAGAGGCCCCAGAACACTTTTTTCAAATAATTACAAAATTATATTATTAAAATCGGGTCGTTATTGCATGCTAGAGGCAACCTTCTTTCACTCCTTGCATCTCTACTAATGATCTGCAAGCTGCACAGGGGTGGAAGGCCTGAAAATTGCATCAGAATGTATTATAACACTTGGCCCCATCTTGCAGTGTGCCACTGACAACAGCTACACTGCATTTTAAAGATTGAATCCGCTCTATGCCTACAGCCACTGCTGGACCACATGCAGAAGCCGTTCTGGCGCAGCATGGCACAAGAGATGCACTTCAGTTGACAGGCCTTGTGGTATGCGAAAAGATTATCACATGAGCAGTTTAGGCCTTTATACATAAAAAATAAATCGCACAATCACAAATGCTAAAATGCACTAGCTACCCAAGCATTTAGTTTTAAAGTGTGTGTATGTGTACATGCGAGCATGTATGTACATACACACACATGTACGCACACACACATACACACAGAAACAATGCAAACTAGCACTGCTTCTAACACCATAGTAACACATACCTGAGATTCTTCGGTCAACTGAGGAGTGAGAACACGGAATGGTGGAAATCCCGAGAGAGGCATTTTTGTGCCACTAGGAACGATTTCTACAGGATCTTGCTCTGTATCAGTCTTCTCAACATCAGTCTTTGAATTGTCATCATCTATTATAGGGGGTGGAGGCACAAGTCCTGACATTGACATCTCCATTGGCGTGCACCCCAGAGACGCAGACGAAGCTTCCTGTACAGTAGAGTTGTCAAACGAGGCAGGCTGCTCCTGTTGGTTCTCCTCAGTAGTACCTGTTTTCTGGAGTTCATCTTTGGCTTCATCGTCATTTATTTCCAGCGACTTTCCTTCTGTTGTTTCCCTAGTGCTGGGCTCCGAGAGAACTGCAAGCAGAATGTACAACACAAATGAAAAAAACAGAGACAGACATAGCACAAACAAAAAGTCAGAATTCTTTAAGCTTCATTTAATATAAAATTTCTAAACAAGTTCACCAAAGAAATCTTAATCGAAGCGTAGCCACATGCTGAGTTCCTGTAGGATTTTTGACGAACAGTGGTAGTCTTCAACATCAATGCTCTCCGGACAAAAGCCAATGATGAAAATTTTGATACTCCGAATGTGCAGAGCTTCAGTATTGCATGGTAACCCTTTTGAATGCCTTTATTGTGCTGTTTCTAGAAAAAACCAAAATGTAGGCCAAACTTTTCTTCATAGATCTGTGGAAAAAAAAATCGGCCCCAGTCCATTGTGCCAATTAATGGCAGAAAAGCTACGAGAGCCTGGAAGCTATAGGCGAGTATAGTCATGCTACTCAAATCCCATCTCTAGCCTTCCCTTGTTAGCCGTTGCTCTACGAATGAGATATAGAGTGGCCACTTTTTCAGTTTTTTAATTGTTCTCCTGTATATCTAAGTTTCATGCTGCTCTTTTACTTGACTTTTCTGTAAAAATGAGTGGAAACCAACAACAGCTCACACAACGTTCAAGAGAAAATGCGATCGAGCTTAAAAAACATCTGATACAAGTGTGCCCAGAAGCAAGATGTCTTAACATGCAGGATATAAAAGAATGTTGTGGAGTCTGACCAAGAGCTGTGTTTAAGATCGCTTTCTGTGGCCTCGGAGTGAATCGGAGTAATATCCCTGTCACACAGCCACTCCCGAACACTATTAAACTCCTTAGCCCATTAGACAGTTCAACAGAGATAAACTTACGACACTGCAATTTTGTGATCTTGGGACAGAAGCAACAAAGGGCCCAATTAGACGCAGCTGTGCCTACGTCTGCATGCAAGATTTCACGTCTAATCAGGATAAAAATATTATTGATCATACATATTATAAAAACTATAATTTATTGAAATCATAGTGGAATAAAATGTTTTGACTTCCACCATGGAAGGGTGTATAGCAAGCACATGGGCAGTAATGCTTCTACTTGGATATGATTTCAGTGCAAATTGGTCATTCAGTTGGTGCTTCTAAATCAATTAAAATGATTGGTAACTTCATACAACCTCTAAAATTAATTATGCCAGAGTCATTACTGAAGTGAAATTCCCACGTCTGGTCTTTGCACTGCCCGCAACTCTACAAATTTTCTAGCAGCTCTCATAACTGCATAAAAAGCACTGCTCTTACTAATCATCATGTTCAGCATACAATGACTCACCTTTATCAGGTTCTTTTTCCATTTCAGAAACAAAGTCTATGCCCTCCTTTTCTTCACTTTTCTTTGGTTCTTCTAAAGGCAGCTCACCCAGTTTGACAGCCTCCTCCTTTTTGCTGCCTTCTAGAAGTGCCTGTTTTAAAGCCCAATTTTCAGAAGGTTTATCAGATACAGGTGCCACCTCATTTATGTCATTGCTTTTCACAGCTTGAACAGGTTCCTCGTCAATACTGCCTTTCATACAATTATCTTCATGTTTAGAAGATTTCTGGCTTAGCTCTTCCTTGTCCGACATCTCACATTCCTGAAGAGAAACTTTGGGTGAGCAGGCTTCTTCAGACTTTGCGTTTATAGCTTCTGATGGGACCGTATCCTCGTCATGCTTCTTAGCCACTTTTAATACACTTTCCTCCCCAGGGGTAGACTTCTCAGCTTCAACAGGAGTTTCAGGGGCAGGCTTTTCATTTTCACACGAATTGTTGACCTTTGTATCAATGAACTGAGGAAGAACAGCATTTTCATCCTTGGATGGAGGAGGAACAACAGTATCTTGAGCAGCGATCTCTGGACAAACTTCTAGGTCATTGTCAACAGATGATTTTAAAATGGTTGGCATTGTAGCATCCACTAGAAAAATGAGAAAAAGCTGTTAGATAAAGAAAAAATAATTCACACAGAAACAAGTAGTACATATTGCATATTGAGTAGGCAAGAGATGATACAGACGAACCCCGAAACAACAAAGCTGATAGAATGCAGAAAAAAATTTGTTTAAACAAAAATTTCGTTGTAGTGAAAAAAAAATTTGAACTGAGCTAGCAAAACAAAGAAACCTTTATTCCCAAAATTCAAGAAGTGTCGGCTGTTTCTTTTTCTTTCCCAGCAGCATCATGACGAGATTCTCACACATGCATAGCAATACGATGTCGAAAAGCACGCTAAAACAACAGCCACAATGGCTTTCGTGAATTAACCAACACTAGCACCAACATGCTAACACCAGCAGCCATCACAAGATATCCGAAAACACTGAGATGGAGGCACGGCATCATGGAGCGGTGATTAATGCCTTATTCTAAGCTATTCTTCTTATCCACTTGTCATTGCTGGCTGATTTTATTGATAGCATGGAAGAACAGCTGCTTTGACCAGTGACCACACTGGCCAAGTGCAAAAAGAACGAAAAGCATTGCCATCGAAAAGGTACCGTTTCGCAATTGCACCCAGCAGCAGCATGTAGAAAACTCAATAAACTGAGCGACTGAGCTTCAGCTTCATTTTGTCTGCAGCTCAGAAGCAAGCCAGTGGCAAAAGCAGGGTAGTCTCATTGCCATCGTAGAGCAATGGCAGCCCTCATGCTTACGTAATAGCGGTGGTTTCTAGTAGCCCCAGTGCGTGTTTTATACATCATAGATATATTTTTATCTCCTGAAAAAGCATTAAAATGTTAAACATTAAGTTAACTGCATGACATTAAATATCTGAGCCTGAAATTGTGTTGTCGAATTTCACTGAAGCAGAACGGCCCAAGGAAGAGTGTTCATTGTGGTGAAAATATTAATGTATTGACTCCTACAGACTGCTGACAGCGAACCGAGCATTATTTGTTTTAGCGCGAATTTCATTGCAGTGGTGTTTGACTGAGTTACAAAATATTGAAATACTACGAACATTTATGAGATTTTAAAAAAAAATCAAGAGTTCTTTTAACTGCCAAATTGATCAAGTTGAGAGGAATGATAACAGTAGCTAAGCAGTGTCAAAAACATCATCAGGTGTGAAAAACATCAGGCATGAAGACATAGCTGTGTGAAAAACTTCCAATTTGGTAATTACACAGGCTAAACACAAAACTTGCATGTGTAACGGTGTTATGAAACATTCGGGCCACTTCATTTATTCTCCAGTGCATGCAACACCAAGTGTTTCACCAGACCATTTATTCATCAGTAAGAAGGCTATCAAAATTTCATCAATAGAAAAAGATTAGATAAAACCAAAACTTGCCTGAGGTAGTTGGGACAGGAAAAGTGTGCCCATGGTGGCCAACAATCATTATAGGTGGCTTCGATGCAGACTGTGCCCGAACAACTTCACGAAAAGAAAGTTCTCCATCATTCAGGAGATGATAGTCCATTCTGCTTAAGCCATACCTGCAGGTTAAAAATTAAATTTTCAATTACAAAGGCAAGAAACGCAAGTGTGTTTAAAACAAATCTTTCGCTCTGGCATGACGATAGTTATAGCGCGAGAACAAAACGACGACACAGAGACAAGTCGTCGTTTTGTTCTCGCGCTATAACTATCGTCATGCCATACCAACTAGCCCAAGCCGCCACACTTCTTCGCTCTGGCGTTGAGTCTAGAATTAGCTTCTTCGAACGTGGTGTGAATGCTGTTTTAACACCAATATGTCAAGTAATCGGTGCTCTTCTCGGTGCCATTTGACATAGTATTTTTGAATATGAGTTCTGAGTGCTTCCAAACCCGTAAGGTCATTTCTCTCGTAAGAGATGACAGCATAAGATACAGTCGAATCTCATTAATTCGAACTCGCTTAATTTGAACTTCCGGTTAATTAGAACTCCCACTGAGGTACCGTCAAAGCTATGTGTATTCCAATAGGCAAGAACGCCCCGTAGTTTGAATGCGTGAGCATTTGCGACGGTTCATTCGAACATACCACGCTCCGAAAATGCTCGCAGCACCACGCCCAATCCCCCCCGCGGCGGCACCTCCGACACTGATACATGTGTAGATTAACGGAAGGCCAGGCGGTAGTGATACCGTGAACAGTAGGCCATGAGGCCCGCGAAGAACATGAGAACATGTTGAGCCTTTTGTCCAGAATGAACTGTGCTTATTCTTTCCAAAATGCCACCCCCCCCCCCCCCCCCCTGTGCCAGGCTTGCACAGCTCAACACAACTATCAGTGCCGCGTGGGGCCGCTGCATTTGAGCCAACATTGTAACACTTCTCCCCTCTTAGGAGGAAGACTACGGGGAGTACCTATTCACCGGTTTCCTAGTCCTCATGCCACGTCGCAACTTCGGCGTGCTAGGCGTAGGCATGACAGAGTCACTGTTCACATGCACACCACTGTTGGGCGCAGTCCCGTCGCTCTCCGTGGTACAGCTACTCCCAGATAAACTAGTTACAGGTAGCTGTTCCTGGTGAGGCACTTGTGGAACAGCTGGTCCATGAAGAAGCGGCGGCTCCAACTGTAGTGGAGCTGCAGCGATAGCAGTTTCAGGAGAGGCCCATGTTTCTGTCTGCACAAGGCGCAAGTGGCCGCTGTGTCGGTTTGCCAAGGTGCCATCTTCAAAACGGACACTGGTTGATGACGGAGCGACGTCCACAACACTGGCAGGCACCCAGGGTGTACCCCCGCGAAAGTTTCGCGCGTACACATCATCACCTGGCTGCAGTGATGGAGCCTGCCGGGACCCTCTGTACGACGGTACAAGCATGTGGCGTATTCCATTTCGAGTTAAGAACTCATGGTCCTGGGCACTGGTGAAGGCAGGACCGTCGTCGGAAACTACGACATCAGGCAGGCCATGCTGAGCGAATGCTATTCTCAATGGAGAAACGGTAGCTTCTGCAGTTGTGGAAGGCACAGGAAATACTTCTATCAACTTTAAGAATGCATCCACAATAACCAAGAATGTGTGACCTAGGAATGGTCCCCCAAAATCAATGTGAAGCCTTGACCAGGGTCGCTGTGGAAAAGGCCACGGCGTCTGCTGAACCGGCTGTACAGCTCGATGTGGAGTTTGGCACGTAGCACAGCTCTTCACGCTGTTGGCAATGTCATTGTGAACGCCCGGCCACCAAACATGGCTCCTGGCAATCATCTTGCTCTTCTCTATACCCAGGTGGCTGGCATGAAGAACAGCAAAAACTTGGGCTTGCAATGACTTTGGGATCACTACTCTTGATCCCCAAAGTAGGCAACCTTCATGGAAACTGAGTTCTGAGCTTCTGGTATTGAAAGGGTTCCACTCTGATGAGGTGCCCGAGATACTCAACTTGTGGCACGAAAAAATGGCATTTTTCAAGTTTGAGTTTGAGGCCAGATTTCTGAAGCTTGCTAAGCACAGCACGAAGGTTGCGAAGGTGCTCAGCATCATTTGCGCCAGTCACAAGAAAGTCGTCAAAATAGACTGCTACATGGGGCAGTCCCCTGAACAAGTTCTTCATCTCGCGCTGAAATATGGCAGGAGCAGATGAGATGCCAAGAGGCAACCGGGTGTACTGAAATAACCCCATATGCGTCAAAATAGTGACATACTCCCTAGAAGCCTCGTCAAGGAAAACTTGCTGGTTTGCATCTCGCAAATCCAATTTTGCGAATTTCTCACCTCCAGCAAGCACAGTCCACAGGTCATCGATCCTTGGAATGGGGTACTGCTCCACTGTTGCCACTGGGTTTATGGTGACACCAAAGTCTCCAGAGATTCTGATGCGTCCATCCCTTTTGGTCACAGGAACAATAGGTGCAGCCCACTTTGCTGTCTTGACTGGAACAAGAATGGAATCTCTTCTTAGTCTATGGATTTCTTGAGTTACTCTATCTGTCAAGGCATACGGCAGTGGACGTGGCTTGAAGAACCGAGGCAGAGCATCTGAAGGAACATGTAGAGAAGCCTTAGCACCCTTGAATGTACCCAGGCCTCCTTCTAACACTTCGGCGTAGTCTTGGACTAGGTGTTTGACGTCGGAAAGTGCGTGGATGTTCACTTCAACGTCAGAGACGCCGATGCCCAGCTCACGCATCCAGTTGCATCCAAGAAGAGTGGCGATCCGTCTCTGGTCAGAAAAATGGATAGGTCGGCCTCCCTGCCATGAAACTTCACACTGATGTCGGCTTTGCCCTGAAGTTGTTTTAGTTCCCCGGAATAGCTTCGCAGAAGCACTTGCGACGGCTGCACAGGAACCAAAGGCAAAAGCTAAAGAATACGCGACTTGGCCATGACAGAGACAATTGCCACCGTGTCCACTTCCATGCGGAGCGGCTTGCCACAAACGTCAACAGTGACGGTGAAAGGCGGAGGCGGCGTGGCGTAGTCGACCGGCCACATGTCAAAAACTTCACAAGATGAAGTGGTAGAGGCGTCCTGCTTGCGTACCATATTAACACGGTGACAGTTACTCGACGACGGTGAACTCGACAACGGTGATCTGCAAACCGAGAACGAATGTGCCTTGGTAGGGCTGTTGCTTTGAGCTTGGCTGTCCCTTCGTCTCGAATTGCACACCTTCGGCAAATGACCTCGTTTGTGGCAGTAAATGCAGATTGTCTTCACATGCTTGCATTTTGATGCAAGATGTCCATCCCCGCAGCGATAGCATGTGACGCCCCCAGAACCTGAAGAGACACGGTGAGTCGAGAAAGCGCTGCTTATGTTTGCTTGCGCTATCTCACCTGCGCCCCTTTTTACTGCTTTCATTGCCAAGGCGGTCTGCACGGCGTTGTCGAAGATGAGGTCCGGTTTTTCCAAAAGTCTTGTCTGGACATCCACGTTGTTTATGCCACACACGACGCAGTCGCAAAGCATGTTTTCGAGTTCAGCCCCGAAGTAGCAGTGCTCGGACAGGCTTTTTAGTGATGAGATGAAACTGCCGACGGATTCCCCTTCCGTGCGAACGCGCGAGTTGAAACGAAAACACTGCACGACGACAGAGGGCTTCGGACAATAATGGCTTCCAAGAACTTGAAGAATCTCGTCCAGCGTTTTCTCCCTGGGCTTGGCGGACTTGACCAAATTGCGGAGCAAAGCATATGTTTTCTGCCCGCAGCAGCTGATGAACACGGCAGTACGCTTGTTTGGGGCGACATCATTTGCCAGGAAAAATGCTTGGAGCCGGTCCACTAAACAGGGCCAGTCATCTCCTCCCCCCTCGAACGGCTCGAGGTTGCCGAAACTTGGCATGGTGAACATATGGCAGTGCGGTGCGGGAACGAAGACTTACATGAAACTTCCTTTCATCCTCGTCGCCAGTTGATACATGTGTAGATTAACGGATAGCCAGGCAATAGTGATACACCATGAACAGTAGGCCATCAGGCCCACGAAGAACATGAGAATATGTTGAGTCCTTTGCCTAAAAATGAACTGTGTCTATTATTTCCAAAACGGCGACCCCCCCCTGCTGTGCCAGGCTAGCACAGCTCAACACAACTATCAGCGCCGTGTGGGGGCGCTGCATTTCAACCAACATTGTAATAAACACCTCAACGGTGCGCGCGGAGAAAAAGAAAAGGCTTCGGTAGAATGTATGCTCTCTCTCGAAGATGATCCAGACTCCAACCAAATGTTTTTGAAGAAACCCGACGTTTCAAACCGACTTGGTTCCTTCCTCAAGGGTGACAGCGGGGCTACGTAGCAGCGGCGTCTTCAAAGCACTTCCAGGGCGGATAATGACCCCCCCTCTCTGCCTCTCGTTTTGCCGTGGAGCGCAGTCCATGTGTAAACACTGGGGGAAGAGTTCCGACAGAGCGGTTGATGTTATGGGCTGTCCTCTATATGTGCCAAGACACAAGTAATAACCTTCTCCACCAGTTCGGCTCACTTTCCAGGATGGCCGTCGCTTCAAAATTTATCCGGTGATCCAACGTCTCAGCAAGTTCGGCGACTGTGCTGCGTGCCCTCTTTGCTGAGCTTCCGCGCATCATTGGCGTACTGCTTCAGTCGTTCGGGTAGGTTTTTTGTCTCGCCAATATGCGAAGAGGGGCACTCGGCGCACGAAATTTTGTAAAGGACATCGCGGGTTTTGTCCATTGTTGGCCGGTCGTTCCGGCGGGGGAGGAGGCGGCCCAGTGTACACGAAGGTACGTGTGCGATGCGAACCCCTTCTTTCTTGAAGATCCGCGCTGGCATTGTGGACCTCAGAAAAAACGGATACCCAAAAAACTTTATTCGAGCCGCCACCCGCCGCGCAGAGCAACATAGGATACGAAAAAAACCCCAATCAACCTTAATTGGCAGCCTCCCGAAACGAGTACCGGTCGCATACGTTCAGGGAACCAGCGAAATGTTGGCGTGGATCTTCAAGAAGGAAGGGGTTCGCATTGTGCACATGCCTTTGTGTATGCTGGGCCGCCTCCTCCCCCGCCCGAAAGACCGGCCAACGATGGACAGGACTCCCGGTGTCGTTAACAAAATTCGTATATCGGTGAGACGAAAACCTACTGGAACGACTGAAGCAACACGTCAACGATGTGCGGAAGCTCTACAAAGAGCGCAGCGCAGCCACCAAACATCCTGAGACGCTGGATCACCGGATAAATTTAGAAGCAACGGCCATCCTTGAAAGCGAGCCGAACTGGAGGAGAAGGTTATTCCTCAAGTCGTGGCACATACAGAGGACAGCCCATAATATCAACCGCTCTCTCAGAGCCCTTCCCCCAGTGTATACACACGGAGTGCGCTCCACGGCAAAACAAGAGAGAAAGAGGGGGGTCATTATCCGCCCCGCAAGTGCTTTGAAGACGCCACTGCTACGTAGCCCCGCAGTCACCCCTAAGGAAGGAACCAAGTCCGTTTTGAAACGTCGTGTTTCTTCAAAACTTTTGGTTGGAGTCTAAATCATCTCCTAGTTTCATAACCAAACAGACCGACTTCTGTCGAATGTTTACATTCATGCTCTCTCTCAAATGCCGATCTGTGACGCGCCTGTGCCACGCTTTTCCCTTTTCCGTCCCTGCCACATAAAGACCCTTCAACTCAGGCCAACCGGCTCGCCCTCCGCCATCTCCTGACGCCGTGAAGCTCTCGCTGAGTGGTATCCCATCCTTGGACTACTTCGACCGTGTCCTCATCTTTCTCTATTTTATATTTACTTGTCACTCCATCCCTTTTAATCCCTCCTTATCCCCTTCTCTCGTGAGCCACTGTTGAGGTGTCGCACTTGGATACAGTTACGGGGCCCAGTTTTATCTTCTTTTCTCTCATTTATGAATCACTCCCCCCCTCCCCCCTTCAATGCCGTGAGCAAGAGAGAGAGGAAAAAAAAAAAGAAAGCTGTCGCAAAGTGCTGGCTCTCGCTCCTGCGCCAGTGCCACGCTTCCCCTTTTCCCTTTCCTGCCACGTAGGCCCTTTTCTTTTCAACAACGCGTGCAAAGAGAGAGAGAGAGAAAAAAAAGCTGCCACGGAGTAATGGTTCTCTCCCAAATGCTGATCTGCTTCTCTCTGCGTAGAGACGCTCCTCCTTTCTCGTCACGTGCTGGCCATGCTGCAACTGCCTAGTGGAGACGCAGTTATTGTCATCGTCGTCTATAGATTCGGCACTGGACAATGCCGCGCGCAACTTTTTTTGCCAGGAGAATGCTGAAGCCGAAGTAGAAATGCTTTCCAAGCTGCGTGCAAAATTGACTCGCTGCAAGGCAAGTGTGCACAGTTGCGCATTACCGATTACTTCAATTAATGATGGATGTCCTGTAATTTGCGAATAAATGTAAGTCTTCTGAAACTTCCCCTTGTGTGTTAGCTCAATACACATGCCCCACTGCATGGCAAGCCCTCCATTCATTTCGCTTTCATTATTTCGAACTTATCTTAATTCGAACAAATTTTCGGGCCCTTTCGAGTTCGAATTATCGAGATTGGACAGTATAATCTTCAAAAAATTCCAAGGAAGAGTTGGTGGGGAAAGGTCAAGGCACCCCAATGGGTTATTCACGCCTCTAATAAATATTGAAACGGTGTATGAAAGACGGTGCTTTGGAATACATGTGAGTAGACGTTAGAATAAACGTGAATTCAGGTAAGGCTGATAGTAATGCTGAAGATGATCAGATAGGACCTTAGGTCAGCAAAAGTAAGTGGAACTCACTCAGCCTCCCTCGAAAAATATATTATGCACTTTGCACTCACTTTGACTAACCAAATTTTCCTGAGCCGAACTCATTCGGACTCATGCTCTCGAAAACGTTCTTCAAATGAACTCACTCGGACTCAGGCACACAAAAATATCACTCACCCGGACTCACTCAGACGCGCGGCTCTATCGCCTTTTGCTGAGCGAGTCCCAGTGAGTATACTTATGAGCGAGTTTGCCCATTCTATGATCGCAGGAGTGGGTACAGGGTAGTAAATGATATAAAAAAACTGAGAATAAGTGAGGTAAACACCAACACTGACAGGCGAGAGAATTGCAAAAAATAATATAAATATAATTATATAAGTGTGTAGTGTGAAGCATGCAGCGACATAAAGTTCAGGAATAATAAGACCAGAACAAGTGTTCTTGAAAGAAAGAAGCAGTTTTGGTGCAAGGTTCATCATGCAAAGTTCATTAACCTCACACAAGAAGCGCAAAGTTTCTGAACAACTAGCTTCAATGCACCAAATCAAAGCACTTACTTCGCTGCACCAATGAGCAGATCTTTATCATGCCGTCCACAAATCCACCAGTCCGGAAGATCCATGGATGGCTGGCAGAGTTTCAGTCTTTCGTCCAGTTCAGGATGTGGTAAAATCTCTTCTCTTATTTTGCTCAACAGTTCAATGCGTTGCAAACAACGGGTGGCTCTCTCTTCAGAGATTGGCTCAACAACATACTGCAGGTTCTCTGTAGATCAAACACAACATTATGAAAGGTTCAATCCAAATGCTAACAACCACATTCACAAAAAATCACTTAAAACTTTAAAGAAGGAAAAAATGCTCATTTGATGATATTGCTCTCTCTGCCTTCAAAGAAAACAGATAAAAATTATATTTATGTTGTGCATAATGCCCCCAACAACTTTTCCAGTAATTTCTTAATACCCCTGTCACACACTGCTAACTTAATGTAATTTATATGCCATTTGTATGCTGTCACATAAGAAAACTATGCCATTAGATGAAAAAAAAAATTTTTCCATCGAATGAGTTTACAATTCAATTTCAGATGGCATGCATGGTCTTGGCGCCAAGGACTGCTTATGAATTCACTGCGTAACTTTTGTAATTCGTAAATACAGTTGAACCCCTTCAAACGAGACATGCACCAGGGAGCTGATTTTGTATCTTTTATAAGGTGTGTCTTAAAAGCAAGCAGCCATGTTTTCATTTTGTTATCAACCTACAGTGTAGGCATACTGCTGGCGCATATACACAATCTTGTTACATCAGTGTCTTTATTAAAGGGGTTCAACTGTCCTAGAATAACTAACTACCGGTCAGACAATGTAAGAGCATGTGCAAAAAATTCTAAACGAAAGCTACTCTCAGCTACAGCGGCTGGACAGGCTGGATGCTGACAGTGTTTCATTTGTGCTTTGCAGTCACTATATTTAGGATTGTGGGTGTTCATCGTTCAATTGCATGCAGTTTGGGGAGCAAAGTGATGGCTGCACGAATTAGCTGGCTCCATCTCATTTCTGCAGTCAAAGCGCCAGTCGCACTCCCACGCTCCCTCATAACGTCAGCCATGTTGGTTTTCGATTGGTTCTTGGCTTGACAAGGAGTTTGATCTCATTTGTGCATGCTGATTTGGCACATCCGTCTTTTTCATGATGTCCCGGCACAAGTGCCCTTCCCAGACTGTAAAATTGCAAAATGTCTCTTGATATCGGGGGCTTCACTTCTGGTGATACCAGTTGTCCTGGCCTTTATCAAAATCTTATCAAAGCAGCAGAGGGCAGCACATCCCGAAAGAGGCAAATTGTGTAAAACAGCTGTGCTTATATTCTTGGAGCAGATATTTAGTGATATAAACGATTTACAAGAATACACACACGTTACATGCAAGTTTTTAAACACCTATTTCTTCCGAAGTCTCGGCTCGGGGGCCTAGGGTCATGGTCACCATGTCAAAATTATATTTTTGTCCCGTGGCAGTAGGCAGGTAAAGTGCCACTAAGTTCACTTATTGTTATTAGTTTTATAAATGTAGTACGATTTGCCATGTGTCAGGAGCATAAGCCATAAAAGCTCACAGTAGATTCAACACATGCATTATCACCTCTGGATGAGTCGGCGAAGTTCCTTTCTCCCAACAGGTACCTTCACATTTCCGTGCAGGAAAAAGGTAATCTCAAATCTCATTATGCAAAAGAGTATAATTATAAACACCTACTTTCCTAAAAGCAAATGATGAGTTATTCAATTGGTAACTAGAGTGCCTTGTATTAAAAATTCTAGCACTGCACTACCGATGCATAAAAAAAAAAAAGAGGAGGGGGGAGGTGATATCTTGTGGATAAAATAATGAAAGGATAACAGCTTTTGCCTGGCAAAGAATTGAAGAGGCCAATACTGCATATGCGCAAGGAGCTGAAAATTGAATGCACTGAAGAATTTGAAAGACAGTTTCTTTTGCAACCAATATCTCATGGCAATAACTCCTGCCAATCTGTCCCCTGCACTAAAATGATAGATGAAGATGCAATGCTTTATTACACAAAGGCTCTTGTGGACATCTGTGCGCAAACCATAGTTATGAAAACAAAGCAGACACATCACAACAAAAACATAATCCTGTAATTTCATTAGCATATGCAAACAGAAACAAAAAAGCGGTGTTTACTGCAGCACATAACACAGAAGTCCTTCATATGTCCAATTTTTTTAGCAGACACTATTATTGCAGACTTTTTACAAATTTGCAATCATGTTTTTGGAATGGAAATGCATGCATAAGCTTCCAAATGGATAGCGATTAGTCCCCCAGGAATTTTTACCGCTCACTGGCAACCATGACATATATTGTCTACGCTCACTATAACGAACCTGCATATAACACTTTTAGATACAATGAACCATTATGGGAAACGTGTAGCAGCTACAGGCAATGATGCATTCCACTGCACCACTGCGCCGCAAGTACTGTGAGTGGCGACTTGCAGCGACTTGCGGCCACTTCAGTGTCAACTGGCATGCTATGAATCGCCTCTCAGTCAGCTACGCCTGCATTGTATCCAAGCGAGTGTGCGTGAAGGTGACAAGTATGATAAAACGGGATGGGTTCCAGAGAGTTAACAGTGCAGATTTTTTGGGGGCCCCAAATTTACAGAATCAATCATGTTTTCGATGTGACTGTGACGTAGCACAGATGCATGACAGAGTGTTTTGAAAGGCTGATTTGCACAGCCAGCCAGTGTAAAGCTCAAAGCATAGGCCATCACCATCGGTGTTTGTAAACATTATTTCTTATCATTTTGATTCTTTCTGTAAACAAAACTCTCACATTATACTATTCTCACCCAGCTTATTTTTTTATCCTGAGTAATACACCTCTCAGAATTCTGGCCATTCTTCTTATTGATTCTTGTTTTTCATACTCATGCCGGTTCATGACTACACAATTCAACAATTCTCTTCCTATTTTCAGCACCTTGTTTCATAAATTTTGTATTACTTTATGCAATGTTATACGTGTAAGCTTACTTGGTATTCTTTATGCATGATTGTCTCTCATTTCTGCTGCTTTGCCGACTTGTAACGGGGTTGGGACCACGTCAAGCTCTTGAGCTTTTAGTCCTGTACTCCTCCCATCAAAAGGGAATAAAATGATTTATTTATTTTTCCTGCCTGTTGAGTAAACGACGGCATTTGTGTCTGGCATGAATTAGACACAACCCCTTCCTATGCAGGCAGTTGTACGGTTGCCAAACTGCATATGTTATGTTCAGTAATGCATGGCATTTCCACGAAATTTTCTTGCAGTAGTTCAGCTTCGTTTCTAGAAGTTGTGTAGGCTTCGGCAGTCCTTGAGTAACATTATCATATGCCAGCATTGCCAATGATTTTTCAGCTGACAAGTAGCGCAATAGAACAGTGGAATGCAGCTTTGCTTGGATGCACAATACATAGGGAATAAATTTTTAAATTCTCACGGTCTCCAATGCATTTTGCCTGGCATGCAGCACTTTTTCTTTAAAATGAACTTTCGCTTAAAACGAATGATACCTGCGTGACCGTGGAAATATACATAATTTCAATGGCATGAAATTGCACTTATAGCGAACGTCTCTGAGCTCTGCCGATCAGTTAACGCGAACTGAGTGGGCGCTCCGGCGAATTTCCAGGAAGCCACTTTCGACCACTGATAATGCAACGGCAAGGTGCCCATAGACATTTACTGTTAAACGCTAACCTGCGCACCGCTCTAGTTGTCGCTCTCCACAACCGTTTTTTGTCATGCACTCCTCCGTCCTTTGTCCCCCCACCCTTCTAAGCCCCCTGCATCGCCGGACGAGCCCCATGTTTTCACACTCCTCAAGATCTTTCAAAGGCCGGTCGGCCAACTAGTCTCCAATCGGTTCTTGATTGCCAGTTTTGCTACACTATCGTTGGCGTTGCCGGCTTGGAGTGACGAGACCATTTTCCAGCATCTTCGACCACCGATTGTACCCTATCATCTGCATATTGTCCAGATCGTTGTCGTATTGTTACAGTGCATGAGCTTGCGCTTTGCCAACGACTGATAACACGCGATTAGTCCCCCCGCGTGCGTAAGCGTAAAAGCGGCTGTTACACGGAACGAATCTCAAATTATAAAAGTCGGCAGGGCCGCTCAAGATTGCTGGAGCTACAATGTGATTTTAGACCTCTGCGCGTGACGACCACTCTCCCAAGTTTTCCTACGCTTGAGTTTCAACGCTTCGTGGGCCTTGCAAGCAAGCTACCCGACCTGCCTTTTCCACCCTATGTTTTGGTTTCTAAGCTCGCCTCCCCTTCGTATGCTCCTCTCTCTTCACTCTATCGCAACTCCTTCACCCATCTCTCGCAAGCATGCTTGCAAGTCTGCTGTCTTCTCTTTATCTCAACTGCTAAGTCCGTCTCCACCGCTCAGCGACGCCAGCAACGCTGGCTCGAATTCAGAAGTTTTGCTTTTTGTCTAGAAACTGGCTCAGAGATGGATGCTTCATGCGTCCTGCATTCTACATCGTGCGTGTGTAATCAGGACGCGAATGTCAGGCCGTCTGCGCTTTTTACGGCCGCTAATTAAAACATCCAAAGTGTGATCGCTTGTGGCTTGGGCACCTGTGGAAAACAAGATGTGCTTCACTACAGTAAAGTAATGACGCGCGGGCAGCATGTTGCACGGTTCTCGCAACGTCAGTGCGTCCTGATTATCCATTCTTTTGGGCAATTCAAGGAAATTAATAAAGGACAGTCTGGTGGAATTCGCGATGCATGCGAACCTCTGAGTGCCGGTTGCTTCAGCTATTTGCGCACTTGCACAGCTGGCAGAGTTCTTGCCTGCAATGCATACTTCGAAAACTTGGACCAAAAGCTTCAATGATGTTTTCCAGCCAAAACACACCACGAATTTCATCACACTGTTCATTACCGAATTCTTTATTTTATGAAAAAGAATGGGCGAGTGGTCGCATCATGACATGCTTCGCATCATGACGTGCTGACGCAGCAAGGAACAGGCGACATGCTGCATGTGTGTCACTACTGTGTTGCAGTGAAAATGTTTTGTTATTTACAGGCGCGCATTTCAATCGATCAACCTTTTTTTCTTGCGCTGATAGCAATTTGGCCCTGGAATTCCCCCTTGTTTGTGACAAAACTGTGACCAGGTATTGTTTGAAAAAATAACCCTTAGCCGGCAGAGCAAACGACCAGTCC